CTTGATCTTGACAATAGTTTTAACAGATTTGACATTTTTCAGATACCTGGAGAAACATCGGCATCTCCACCAGCTGTTAATAAAATATCCCTGAATGTTTCGTAGAGATCAAACGGAGAAGTCAGACGATTTTCATTTAATTTCAAAGCCTGATAAGCATCCGGATTTTCATTACGGAACCAATCTGGTAACCATATATAGATGAATGGTAATCTTTCCTCATACCAACCAACGAATGTCTCTCTGATGTTACCCCAACGCATGCCTAAACACAAAAAATATATTCTACTCTACTACACTTCGATCGAAATAATTTTCTGAAACTCAATCGATTCGATTAGACGAAGAATTTATGTAGATACCGTGATCACTCAAAAACACGATCATCGTGTCGTTAAGAACACCTTCCTCTTTGAGAATTTGCAGTTTTCGAAACATTTGGGAATCCATTAAGGATGGTCCATTCACGTTCTCATGGCTTATCGAATTAGTCCAAAAAAATCCAAAATACGGTACGTTCACGAACGTTTGAGCAAAGTCCATAGCGTAATTAAAGATCCTATCGAAGCTCGTTTCAGGGCCAGTGCAATACTTGAGATTAAATCTGAGATTGTAAAAGTGAAAATAATCAAGTCATAAGTATAAATTATTTTTCCACACTTTCTTCATATCTTTAATAGAAACCCCATCGATTGTAATTAACACTATGCCGTCCGGCGACACCACAGTGGTGTCGTACGGAAAATAGCGGCCAACGGCCGGCGACACCACAGTGGTGTGTGCGTAGTATCGCTCAGTGGCCGGTGACAGCATTTTAGTATCTTTTGCATTCTGTTGGTGTTTTGTTTAGGTAACAATAAGTTACATACGTCAACAAGTTTTTTGTTTTTATAAATATTTGTGCGACAAGTCAAGCAATCCGAATTAACCCTGCCGGCTCCAAGCGAATAAATTTTTACGAGACGTGCGGACGACAGTGTTAATATCATTTATATTACATATACGTATATATATATATATATATACACACACACAAATATACTTATATACGTATACCTATGTACATACATAAGAATAATTACCTGTTCTTAGATTTAAGAAGCTTTTCGCTTGCCAGCATGTAAGGTCGTAGATAATAGTCCGTTGGTGGTTGCACGAAACCTACTTTTAGATAGTTAAATGTGTTCAAAACGGTCTCGTCCTCGCCGTATGCCGTGATGTATCCTGCATTGCGGAAATTATACCAGAGAAAAGGACAACGATCGAGTTTATAAGCTTCCGAAGGTTTACATCTCGAGTATGCCTGTTCTTGATTCTGACCGGTTAAAATTGCCATCAAGTTTGGAAAAGTATTGTCGCCCATTTTGTTGTATCCCTTCAAGCCGATCCAACCGGTCTCACGAAGATACTTTTCGGTCTTTGGCATACTTCTTTGAAAGTTTAATCGGCTTACACTGTCGATACCAAGAACGAGAATACTGAGTTTTCTCGGGAGACCATATGTCACGTTGTTATTCGTGCTGTTCTCCAAACGATCGTAGACCTTACGTGGATTCAAAATGGCATGGACGTTTTCATATATCGTTTGTTTCTTTTTCTTCTTCGATTTAATTTGACAATTCACCAAAACAACTTCCACGTCGTCTGGTATCGTTGCTTGCGTTTTCAAACTTTCACATTGTTTCACTCTACGTCGAATTGATCGTACGAATATATTAATAATAAACATATCTATTCGATCGAATTTATTCATTGACTGAATCTAACTCAAACATTACTTACGTTATCGTCGAATCAAATTTATGCTTTCTTGGATTATCAAAGTTCGGTCTAATTACCGGCGACCAACAACAAAACATATTTTTATGAGCAGCCATGAATTTTGAATCGAGGAGAAGGGTGATGGTATCGTTTTCCCCTTTCGATATTCGCGTGTAAAGGTTCCCTTTAAAACATTCCTCGAACTTCTCCCTTTTTACAAACTTTACGATCGATGGATCTAATGCGTCAATCGATAACATATGACATTTCGAATTCCATACGAGAAAACCGTCCATCGTACCTGAAAATCGTACTCTTTTAAAGAAATATTTTCTTTTCTTACATTTCTCACCCTTCTTTACTTTCTCTCTTTCTCTCTCTCTTTTTTCCATTTCTTTTTCACTTTTACAAAATAGAAAAAAAAAAGAAGAAAAAGGAAAGAAAAGAAACGTCCGATTTCTGTCCAAGAAACGATATCTTATTTATATTTCAATTACTTCATATATCTTACCAATGATTATGTATCTTATCATGGTTTTATCAATTTTTTTGTTTTTTTTAACGAAAACGTAACTTAATTTATCTTCAACATTCTTAATTTATTATAACAAAAGTCAGATATTATTTGGTCCAAAGTGATTATTCATTTATGAACTCACCGTTAGTATCGTTGTAGAATCTGTAGGACGGATATTGGAAATTCGTATAGACGATGTTTTCTTCGGAAACAAAAAATAATGTCACAATGACAAGACACGGAAGAAGGAGTAAAACTATACCAGGTCTTCGACAAAAGCATTCCGCGAAGCGCGACCACTTTGCCTTGCGCGTCATCATGCTAAGATCGCGCTTCTGTCACTGAACAATCAGATGTCCTTCGAATTGTGTTCACACTCCCACTTGTCCTTCCAATTGGAAGCTATCGCCGGTGGTATCGGTGGTGGTACTGGCATTTCCAAACCCTTAATTCTTAAAATTTCCCTTTCCCTTTGTTCCACCAGGTTCCCTTTTCTTTCAAATCTTTGATCTTCGCACGAACGTTCATTATCTTGGATCCCCTCATATCTCCCATATCTTCTTTCTTCCCAAGGCAAACCAATCATTGAGCGATCCTCTTCGATGATAACTACTTCCTGTATAGAATCTTTATCTTCTACTTTTTTCTTCGAACTTAACGAACGTCTCTTAGGATAATCTACTTGTACAATAAAAATATATTCAACTTTATTTATAATTAAACTTAATTATAATTATAATCAACGATATCGTACGATATTTCATTATTGAAAATTAATTCTTTTTTCTCGATATGATTATCTTTTTATCATAATCTTTGCAGTATCCTAAAATAAAGTCGATAAAAATAAGGCAATATTTGAAATTGTATTAAGGGAATAATAAGATTCCGGAAAGGAATGAAACGATAACAAGCCGTTATCTACGAGTTTTTTTTCTGTTTTTTTTTTTTTGATACCTCGTAAGGTCAATTCGAAAGCCAGTGATGTACCAGATATACATGTACTAATATAAAATATTATACAATGCGACGAAATGGAGAAACTTTGTAAACGTTAGTATATAAGCGAGGAGAAAGTAATAAAGAAAAAAAAAAAAAATACGTTTGAAATCGTGTTCGTAAGGGCCCAAACAATGAAGGTTAAAACGTCATCTACTCTTCTTAAAGTGGCCATGCGTTACATTGATTGCATAAATGAACGGACGGAATCGTCTTGTCGCTATTGAGATAAGGACAAACGATTTTGTTTTTTACTCTCTTCTTTGGTTCAACAAAAGTCATTCACAAAGTATACATCCGTTTAATTAATTCATTCGTACGAAGATATATCATAGCTTGATGGGTAATTATCTAACCATTAAACATTAAATCTATATACTCGGTAAAAAAAATAATTACTATTCGTTTATACGAATATGCCTCGTTGTTTTTAACCTTTTGATAATATAAATAAATAATACGATTATCTACCCTTTCATATGTGCCTAAAGTGTACAAACGTGTACTCTCAAAAGTTACCAACTTACCCCACATTCACTATATTCTATTATACATGAAGAAATAATATTCTGAATAAATGTCGAAGAGGGAAAAAGATAAAATTCCCATGTGACATCGATTTCTCCAGATGATCTCATCAATCTCTCAAGTTATCGAAAGTCTACTGTCACCGGTGCCACCATCATCATCACCACCACCACCACAAACAGTTACTCGTTGAAAGAGGTGAATTGATAACACTCTCACTACGCGTTATACGATACCGTTTAAGAACTGATCAATCATACCCTGTAACATCTATTATAACATAACGAGATCGAAGAAAATGATGAATATTTTTTTGTCGCTTCCCATACCAATAAATTAACTCAAAATTCTCTTCTCCTTATATATACATATATATATATATGTGTGTGTGTGTGTGTGTGTGTGTGTGTCTGTGTGTGTGCTTGTGTGTATATGTATATATATGTTTATATATGGGTATACATATACATATACATATATATAAAAGAATGATGATATATATGGACAGGTAGATATTTTTTTAGAGTTATGAGTATTACGAGTATTACGATTATTGACGAACATAGAAACTCGTTGATAAAAAGAAAATTGAAAAAGAAATTGAGAAAAAATTAACGAGACACGAGTCGAAAGGATATGAACGAAAATTAGCAACAACAATGGCAAGAAGTTACGACAACGAAGTTCAGTTGTCGACTGACGACTAAATGTGCGCGAGAACGTCGACGTACTCGCTAGAAGCCGACGTCGTCGTCGACATTGCTGTTTCGATACTGCGCCGGTCGATACTCGCGCGAGGATGCCGATCCAACCACCCTGTTTTCTTTTCTTCTTCGTTGCATTCCTAAGCAATAAATACGATCGTTGAGGAATTTTTTCAACACACTATTATATCCCATTAATACAATTATCTCGATGATCAATATTTGTTTAAATCATTCCATATGACAAAATAATCTATTTTTATCATTACAATCGAATGTTCTTTTTTCCTTGTAATCAATACTCTTACAAAAAGAACAAAAAATAATTGTGCATATCATAACTTTTTATCATATTTTCGATTGGATAACATCGTTCGTACAAATATTTGTCTAAGATTCGCCGTATCTCATGGAGAAATTTTATTTTTACATCGTCAATGACATTTTGTCAATGTCAAACGTTTCACGTATTTTTAAACAAATTTATTGCATCGATTAAATTAAGTTTATTTGAATGCTAATTTCAAGATATTTTTTTCATGCGTAATAAATCAATTGTCAACGGACAAGATATTGTGGACTAATAGGACAAAGATATTATGCAAATATTGACGAGTAACAGACGCAATAGCGTACAGAAGTGCACTTTGTTCTTTTATTTTTCCTTTCTTTTTTTTAATTCATTGTATCTCTTCCTCAGGAAATAACCATTTCCTAATTTTATTTCTAACTAACTACTAACCACTACTAACCACTACAACGCTAATGAGCGCTAATTAATAAAATTAAACTTAGATGTTATTTCTCTATATATATAATGGATTCTCGAAGGTTGTTATGTATTTAAAACTAAATAATCCAGTAAATTGGCAGATAACTATACTCGGAAGTACGAAAAATATTTGTATTATATTTATTATTGACTGCTTGATGTGAGCTCGTTATCTATTTTTGGTTTTTATGTTATGTTAGCTTTTTTTCTTTTTTTTTTCCTTGTCATTTCCGTTCTATTGTAACTTATGATATATATATATATATATATATATATATATATATATATATATATATATATATATCTTAATGAATGCTCGTGCTTCTATTTCTATTCATCATTCATATAGACATTAACCTTGTAAAGTAAACACACTCGGCCGTGAAGTTTTACATAAATACATATAAGTGATCTCATTTTTGAGAAACCGTAGTAAAATTATTTTCAAAGCAGTCATTACGTTCTTCGTCGTTTCGGTTAATTTCTATTTAACGATGTAACATCGTTAAATCGATGAAATATAAAAATGTTATATTTATAATCCGTTCAACGAGACGAATCAAGAAGCATAATAAAAGCGTGATAGATACTGTACATAAGACTCCAGCTACTTGCTGGCGAATTATAGTTAATTGTTAAATTGAGAAATGAATTTATATAGATCATTGTTAGGGCTTGCGTCAATTTCCTGTCCAAAAATTATTACAATATTTGAGAATTGTAAAAAAGCTCTTGACACGATCGCGTCTCAATCATGTGGATTTTTTTCCAAAACGTCTTCTGATTCGTCATAATATATGTATATATAAAATTTCCTTATATAAAATACATATTCTGATATTATTTCATACTTCGACTAAAATAATAAATACACAAATCCTGTTGAGATTCAACAAGCGACGAATTCAATTTCCAACAGTTAAAGATTCACAATGGATTCGTGAAACTCAAGCTGGCTTAAAGGATCTTTGGTTATACTTCCTCCCTTAACATGTATTCAACAGAGTTCCTGGATCTTCCTCGTACTCGAAGATAGGTACATACGTTTGATGATTTACATTATTTCCATTTAACTTCTCAGTTCTTCTTTTTGTCCACGGATTTCCGGCAATGACAACGACGATGATGACATGCATGGAAACTGCATTAAATCAGACTGTATCGGTACATTCTGAAAACAAGTAAAATGATAACGAACGTCCTGTCATAAGCATCTACGTATGATAACTTATCTTTTTTAACAAGTACATATAACACCTACGTTAAAGCGATTAAAAATATCGACAATTCGAAATTACGATCGTGTACAGTCGATTGAAAATGATGATGTTATTAAGTTTGTCTATTAAAAGGAAAAATATAAGAGAAAAAGAAATAAAATCTTCTTTTCTAGAAGAAATTAGAAAAGTTAATACTCACTACAGACGGAGCAATGTTGTTCATCGGAACCATCACCACATCCGTCACGTCCACTACAGGCAATCGCATCTGAACGACATCTGCCATTATCGCATTTGAAAGGACACGTCCTAGGCGCTATTCTACCACGATATCGTGTTCGACAGGCTCCTCTAGGTTCGTCGCTACCATCCCGACAAGATACTACTGCATTGCAGAACTCATACGCCGGTAAACATTGGCCATTGTTACATCTGAATGCTCCCTCGGGACATTCTGTGAGAGACGTGTAAAACGATTCATTTTGAAATCTATCGAGAAAGGGAAGAACATGAATAGAAATGCTGATGTAACTAACTTCGTCGATTGTTGCAATCCTTTTCATCCTCGTTGTCCGGACAATCTCTGTTTCCATCACAAAGACCTGCTCGGGACACGCAAATGCCACTTTTTACGCATTTAAAAGCTTGAGCAGGACAACTACCCTTGGAACACTCCTCGTCAGAGCCGTCAATGCAATCTGCACGACCATCGCAAACGAAGAACCAACTGATGCAGTTACCTGAACTTCTACATTGGAAGGTACCTGGAGTGCAACCACCTTTCTTTGCATTGCAAGTTGAATTTGAAGGGAAATTACAATCACATATTCCGTCGATACATCTCGAGAATGGATCCGCCATTCGACATTCTAAATTAGAGATACATGGGAGACCTAAACTGACGGCTGTCATCGTCGTCGGTTCGTGGCGATCCGTTTTGATCGGAGCTGAAAACAGAGACACGCGAACGAATGTACAAGTGAAGGAAAGAAATAATGAAATATATAAATAATTACCTGGAGTCATTGAAACTATCGTGGTCTGAGCTAGTTCCGTAGGCTCAGCTTCGATGACAATTGCATCATCGTCATCGGCAATCTCGGTAGAGCTTGGTCGATGTGGTCTACCAATTACAAAACTAGGTCTGGTTACTAAATTAACAGGTATTAGTTGACTGTTCGTTGTCGTCGATAAAAGCATCGTTGCATTCTTCAACCAAGATATCTGAACTCCTGATGATGAAACAGTAAAAAAAAAAAAAAAATAAAATAAAATAAAAAAAAAAAGAAAGAACAATTAGTAACATTGCGAAATCATGTTACCGGAAATGCTTGCTCTCCTCAAAGGGACTCATTAAGGTCATGCCTTCGAAACTTCACGATCGAAGTGAAATGCGTTCGCTTACTCTTCTTGCGAGAAAAAGGGGAAAAAGACAACAAAAAAAAAAAGCAAAAATAAAAAAAATAAACAGGAAAGAATCGTTTCAGATTCGTTAATGATCTCGTTAATTATGCCCAGGAATGGACGTTTGCCTCGTTAAATCCAGTTAAGTACTTCAAAATACACGCATCGAGTTAATCGACCTCGAAACCCTCTCCGAATGAATGTAACGTTGTAATTGACACATTATAAAACAGGAACGTTTCCTTTGCTTTTGAACTTCATATAGAACTTCGTACGTTAAATAGATTCTTTTTAATCATCCTACCGGTACTATCCTGATCTTCAATGTTCTCTGGTTTGAAAGTTGCCATTAAAATATCTGTATTCTCTTCGTTGGTTTCCATGATCTGTTCGGTTATCGTCTGTGAATTAATTTCTTGATCCAAGGGTAAAGAAGGCCTTACAAGACTGTCGGGACTGCAGACGTCACCATCACGACGCATAGGAGCTGTACATTGACAGCGTCCAAATAGATCAGGAATAAGAAAGTCACAGTGAGTATTTGGATCCCATAATCGGCAATGAGCGTGTTCGTAACACACCTCTCCCAATTTTGCAGCTGCAATAGATTTGAAACTTGTAATAATTCATGGAAATTCAAAGGAAACGAACTCGATTAAAATCTTCCGATCTCGGAGCGTTCCTTCGTCCGTCGATCTTTCAAATTATACACGCTCGAATTATGTGTGCCGTTACCCAACGGTATAGACAACGAAGTGTGCCGCTTAACATCGGGCAAGATTTATTTTAATCGTGTGCATCTGTTGCCTTCGAGTGTTTTATTAAAGGAAGATATAGGAAAAAGAAGAAGAGAGAGAAAGTCATAAAAAAAAAAAAAAAAAGAAAAAAAGAATACATATATCAAAAGAATTAAAAAGATGGAACGCTCTGAGGAAGATAAAAATGATCGAATAGAATCAATTGCTTACGTCCTAAACAGGTGTGTCTTCGAAATTGCAAATAACCTTCGACGCATCTGCATGCTCCTTCTAGACAGCTACTGTATGCTACCTTCAACGAGCACTGTTCCTTTACGATACAATCGTTACCTAATAGAGTAGCTGTCGAAACAGAAAAGAGAAACAAAGTAGCCTTCGTTTTAAACTTAACTAAGAAAATCGAATACAATAGGGTCAATGAGTGAAAGGAGAGTAAGAAGAAGAAAAAATTGCAGAGACTTCGGCTTTAGATAGTTTCTACGGTAATGATGGTACTCTTCTTTGTTAATCTTGATCCGCGCTTGGGTCATCGTATCTCTTAAGTTAATTAGATTCTCTGAAATCTTGTTGAACGTTCTATGTATTACGTTGAATGAGATATTATCAGTGGCACTGTCTCCTATCGCTATATTCTTTTTGATTCCTCTTCTTTTCGATGAAAAGAAAAATGTTCTTTAAAGACTGCCGAGAGGAGTATTTAACAACGACCGAGATAAAAGAAAAGACGAAGAATTCAGAGGAGACTTTAAGAAACTCACACTCGAGGCAACGTGTTCCATTGTGTTCGGCGAAAAAGGGTTGACACCGACAGTAACCATAGTAGCAATGACTGTTGGCGATGAAACTTTCGCAATCTCTGTTCCTGTTGCATTCATTGCCGAGCTTGAGTTCCGTCAATATCGGCGAAGACGTTGTCGAGCGCTAAAAAAAAAGAAAAAAAAAAGTAGAAGAAAAGAATGAAAAATTACAGACAAAGATATATATATATATATATATATATATATATATATAGAGAGAGAGAGAGAGAGAGAGAGAGAGAGAGAGAGAGAGAGGGAGAGGAACTTTTCTTTCCCAAATATTATTACGAGATATGTTTGAACGAATCGACGAGCTAACTTGTATCCTATTTTGATTTATTTAACCAGCTAATAAATCGTGTCTCCTTCCTAACGAGAGATATTCTATAAAGAGTAAGTTCACGGGAAACTCTCAAAGGAATAGAGACAGATCGAATAGAAGTATCCATTGAAAGTCGAGATCGTTAGTCGAGTTCGATTGATAGAAAGATAAGGATTGCTCCTTATCGAGCGATCGCAATGTCGTTGAACCGACATTATAAATTCTTATCGGAACCATAGGACTTAAATCGAACGTATCGAATTCAATATGGAGGATTGCTGATCGTTAAGGTAAAAACTCCTTTTGGCTGATTGCCCTAAAGATGGTACGAATCGAAAGGAGCTTACAGAATAAAATGAGAAAAAAAGAGAGATATATATATATACATATACGTATATAAAGGATACATAGGATACATAGAAGGCTTAGAAAAGAATCACTGACGTCGAAGTTACCAGTTAACGGTCTATCCCTGTCTCTTTCTTCGTTTCTCTTTCTCACTCGTCACCTCCCGTCCTTGCGATTTTCCTCCTTGCATCCGTTTCCGTTTACAAAGGGTTACTCGCGTGCGCGCATTGTTTGCTGATCGTGGGAATAGCTCGGAATGCGATTAGGAAGAATAGAAAAGGAAGAAAAGTCATAGTTTTGACATTTTCTCGCTCGGATTCCCCTTCATCACTGGTATGTATTTCAGCTTAAGGTATATTCATCTAGTTAGTTACATTTACAAACGTATAAACATAAACACGTACATAGAAACCTCACACATCGCTTAATTACATCTAACGAAGCGAGCCAATTTAAAAAAACGTTGCGGAAGAATTACCACCAGCTGCTACCTTCAACACATCATCATCATCATCATCATCATCATCATCATCATCATCATCATCATCATCGTCGTCATCATTATCATCATCATCAGTCATGATCATGATGATCATCACGTACCATCATACAATCCTACTACTTTAACGACCCTTCTCACGCGGAAACTCAACTTTTGCTTCCGATATCGCGTACTCACGGAATGTACTGCGGCAAGAATGAAGAAGAATAATAATAAGAAGAAATAGAAGAGAAGAGTTTAAAGGAGAGCGCGTAGGAAGGCATAGGGAAACCACGAATGGTTTCCCATTCTTGGCTCTACTTCACTCTCTCGACGCTTTATGGCGATCGTTAAATTATGCTTCGGTCAGCCGTAATCACGGACGTTCCAATGGCTTTCGAGGAATGCACTGAAGATGCTTCTTCGCGACTTTTTCCCGTATAGATATATCGCGAAATTCCGTTTCACGCGAGAACATTTCTCCGATTACATTTGAAAATGAAGTTTCGCCATTTCTTACAATATCTTAGACGAACCTGTAAAATCGATTTCTCGATTTCTCGATTTCTCGAATACCCTATCAAAGCCTTCATATTATAAGAAAAAAGAAAAGAAAATATATATATATATATATATATATATATATATTTTCTTTAGAGTATAAGGTAAAAATTTTATGAAAATAAGTCTTCACTTTGCTCCTTAGACATTTTTCCGATCATTCAAAGAGTTACCGGTACTCATAGAACAGACAGAGTCAGTACCGCACTATATTTCCGGACTATGTTATCCAATGAGAACATGGCTCTCGTGCGAGATTAGATATTCTCAGACTTATGAAATTATAATTTCCATCTCGCATTAGCGAAGTACAGTGTAGCGTGCAAATTTATAAGAAATTAGTACCTACGCTTCGTGGAGTTTAATCTGACGATCGTCCGTTCCTCGATATTAACGTATGTTCAACGCGTTAAAGTAACATAACAAAATAATATCGAAATATCTCTTAAAATAATAATAATAATTATTATTATTATTATTATTAATATTATCATTATTATTATAAAGTGCAATAAAGTGTACGATACAATATAAAATTTTTATCACAATCTAAATGCATTACCAACCATTTGCTGCCGCACTACCAATGGAAAATAACCGAACACCGTTAACCGTACAAAGTCTATGCATTTTTGCTTAATATCAAAACGAAAGTAGGACAATGCAATACGACGTAGAGTCACTTCTCCAATACAATCGAGAACTTATAGTTCATTCTTCGAATTTATTGGTCGTATGGTCTTAATGTTTAATTCAATTCGTTACGCTTTTCCTCGAGCCTTATGCTTGATATATGTATATATATATATATATATGTATACATAGATGCGAACGTCAATGTAAGGTATAGCCGTTAATATCGATTCCTTCCTGTCATAATCACTGTTATACCATCAGAATCGAGTAATTAGAATTCAATGTGCGATCAAACGAACGTAACTCGAATTCATTTCCTGTCATGAACGTAGAAATATTCGATGACAAGGCACCCTTCTCTTCGTACTCGAAATGTTTGGATACGTCGTCGTAAAGCCACGATAGTTAGGCACGATTAGATGGTAAAAAAAAAAAAAAAAAAAGAAAAAAAAGGAAAGAAAAAAATACTAAAAGTAAAAAAAGAAAAAAAAAAAAAAAGAATGCAAAGGAAATATACATGCAGCTGTAAAAGAAGAATCGGAAAATAATTCTCTATGGGCCGACAGAGCATTCCTTTTTAATGTTGTTTGCATATTCAACGAGAATGATGCCTTTTACCATGGTAGAACCAACGACGACGTCAAGTGAGAATTATTGTAATTCTATGTGCGAGTAAGGACTCCGACAGTCTCTGGAGACGTTGCGTGTACATACTCAATGAGGCGTCGATGAAACGTTAGAGAATTTACGACCATCTTGCTAGAAAATTCAACACGCGATGCCAGTCTATAAACAATAACAATGTGTATATATCTTTTTAAATTTGTCAATAAAACTGAATATTTAACTATTTATCAATTCTATAGAAAAATAGACACATACACACACGCACACGCACATACACACAGATACACATATATGTAGACACATTTGTTTAAAAAATATCAATTCATTGATATATAGTTAATATAATAGTTGAACGTTCATAAAACATATGTCAAATATTGAAATAAATTATTGACATTTTTAAAATACTTCTAAAAATCATTTACAATTGATACAACATTAACAATATCAATTAGAAAAACGAAAAAATACATTTCATTAACTCACCAAATTAATAATAGTGATGCACGCGAGTAGTACAGTTGCACGATATTCAAGCATTGTCACTGTCTATTTCGAAGTTGATTAAATGAAAAGAAAAGAAGAAAAAGGGGTGGGGGGGAAAAAGGAAAGAAAAAAGTAATAATAAAAGGGTTAAAGAAAAAAAAAAAAAAAAGAAAAGAAAAGAAATTAAGAAAAGAAATATGCAAATAAAAAGATTTCACGTGGCAAATATAAGTTGGAGATTAATTTTCATTAAAACACAAGGGGTTCGAGAAATGCGCGCTGTTTACGCACGCGCGCTAAGATGACTCAAGACGGACTGAACACGGAACGGCCCTCCCTGAATGCGCTTTCGTCCTCAGCTGAAGTATCTCGAATAGAAAAGCATGCAACGGGCATCGGGCCCCGTTCGACTCCCACTTCTTTTTCTTCTTTTCCTTCTTTTGCTTCTTCTTCTTCTTCTTCTTCTTCTTCTTCTTCTTCTTCTCACTCTTTACTTCCCTTCCTTTCTTTCCTTCTTCCCTTTCTTTCTTCAACTTTGATGCCGTTCTTCAAACATTCTCAAGTAAGATATCGTCGATCGTCGATCACCGATATTTTATTACAAGCTATCAGCGTTCCACAACTGCAAAGGAATATTATACACATTCGATGAATGAATAACATAAATAAATATTTTCCTTGGGCTCATTTAAACGTTCAATATTTCCAGAATTATCGCGGACAAACGTTTCTAACGGTATAGAACGTAGTTTCACAATAGGTTTATATACCTGTAATCAAAAACTAGAACAACGAGTTTCATTTTTTTTTCTTTTTTTTTTTTTTTGTTTTTTATTTTTTCTCGAGATTTCATTAATTCAATGAACATATAGAAAAAAAGATACGTAGGGTCAGAGAAATATAGCACGGAAAACCGGTCCTTTTATTTTCTTTTAGTTGACATATCTATTTAAAGAATTGCAGACGTGTATATGATTCTTATCTCTTTTCTCTCTTTCTTTCTTTCTTTCTTTTCGTGGCGCTTTATGTAGTAAAAGAAATAATAAAAGAAACGTGAAGTTACCCTCAAGATATACATGTGTTACAATTCAAAATTACCTGTGATAATATTTAATCTCTTTTTCGTTTCTTTCGGTACAATTGCTTCATTTTTCATTCGATTCAAATTAAATTTTTACGACATAATAGAATCTTTTCATTGATCGATCTTATCTATCTATAAAGAGAAAAAAAAATGAAGAAAAAGAAAGAAAGAAACAAGATAAGAAAACGTTAAGCTCGAATAATCTTTCTCGGGATAGTTAGAAACGTATCGAGAAAGTTAGGATAGCGGTTACGGTAGAATAATTCAATGAACATTCGAAAAAATAAATGTAGTCTCTTCATCTTTGCGGTTGATCTATACCGTTCGATTTATGTGCACGAAATCGGATACACGCCGTTACATTTCATCGAATAAAACGTTGTTCTCGCATGTCATTGCACAAGGAACAACAACAACAACGAAAACGACGACAAAAAAGAAAAAAGAAAAGAGAAAAAAGATTCACTAATACTTTGCGGTTAGATGACTTTACGAGCCGTGACTTTCCGCGCGTTCTTTCATTTAATGCATTGACATTAGCTCTTCTCTATTCGAACATGCGTAACGACTAACGGCTAATGTCCAACGAATGTAAGTATCGACGTACTTCGAAAAAGTCTATTAAGTTCAAACAAAATTTCTCTCTTTCACAATGACGATAATATTCCCTTTGCCAATCCCATTCAATTAAAGTCATTATTTTACTTAGTTCTTTTTTACATCGTCGTAACTTGTTAACGACAAACTCTACTTTTAATTACCTTTCAAATTGAGTACGTTCTTTAATGTATTTACGTCGTCACTTTTATAAAAATCGATTAAATTTAAATAATAGAATGGACACTGAAAGATATTAATGACTATGTCCTAGATTTGTTATCTAATTTTTATAATTGAAATTCGTTGAACGTTACAAGAGAAAGATGGCCGCAATTAATATCATCTATTTTTGATTATACTTAAGTGTAACCTTTCTTATTTTCTGTCCTGTGGAATTATTTAAGTTAAACTGTCACGACGATAGTATTAATAGATATAAAAATAAAGAAATAATATGAAAATGATTCAAACTGATTAGGACATTGACATGCACCGATTAAAATTATGACGACTTTTTTATCTGCTAATAACTTCATAGTATGATAGATTTAGCGCGAACTTTCAAAAAAGATAACAATTCGATTTATGCGCATGCGTACATTTGCGAAATTATTTTTTCTTTTAACGTAACAGAATAAATATTTTCTTTATTTATATAATTCTTAATTTGTATGATGAAAAAAGAAATAAATAAATTGAAGAATAAATAATACACAGAGATAAAATTGACTTTAAGCAGATTTTCAATGAGTTATGAAAACACCAATCAGATACAAGCTGAGCGAATGGTGTACTATCGAATAAACTTATTGGTCGAATGACTTACATTCTGAAAACTTAAAAAATGAAATGGAACTATATATTTATTACGTAAGCGTAGAAATTTCTTAAACCACGTGTTTTTATATTGGTATTAATGCTTCCAAATAGTATTACGGGCGATTG